CGCTTTGGTCTGCCTCTAGGTCGACGTCCTTGGGGGCTGAGCCGCAGTGCTGTTCTCACCACTGAGTTCTCATCGCTCCGTACCACATGTCCGTACCACCGCAGCCTCGCTTCTTGCATCTTATCTGTGATTGGCGCGATTCCCATCCTCTTTCTAACGTCGGTGTTCATGACGTGTTCCCATCGTGTTAGGCCTAGGCACCATCGCAGCATCCGCATTTCCATCGTGTGAAGGGCTTGTTCGTGCTTTAAGGCCCTTACCTGTGGCACTTTTATTTTAACTGTGTTGTGTATTTGTAGAGTGTACTATTCATAATTCATAATCATGTTACTGTAACGTGTTGCCTTGTGGGATCAATGAAGCCTTTAAAAAGACACATGAAGAGTTCACGAACAGTTCATGAAACTGAGCCTCTTAGTTTAAATTTTGTTTTAAAAGTGGTTGGGTGAAGAAATCCATAGCACAATCACATATTAAGGCTATTGGTCATGAAAACAGAATAAATCATCTTACACATTTGAAGGGGGCTGTAGAATTAAAACCTGCTGCTTACGCCAAACATTTATGACAGACAAACAAACAAATACTTAAAGTACTATCCAAAAGTTGATTCTGTGCATCTGAACGTAGCTACGTCCAGATGCACAGAATCAACCTTTGGAGATTTACTTACCTGGATGATTGAGCATGCATCAAGACGTACTTAAAGTACTGTAAAAAAAAAAAATCATCTGATATGGAAAACAAAAGCAAATAAGCTATTACAAGTCAATCGGGTGTTAGAATGAAGAACAACTGTTGTGCAGTCACTTTGAAAATCAGCTAACTGATGTTCACTGAGACCAACAAACTACAGTTTCTGTACATATCATCTGTTTTGCACAAACGTCGTACTGGGTTCTTCTGTCTGACAGATCACACGATGTCATGGAATCTAAAGTGATGCTGGACAAGACGTTTGATGTAAAGAGGATTTTAGCATCAATGTATCAGCCAAGCATCATGTGCGTTCATAACTACCATTCAGGGCAACACTCAAATTACTTATTGAGAACAACAGGTGAGTGTGTAGAGGAATTCTTATTGTTTAAATAGTTAGACTATGCCCATAGCTCAGTGATCTTAATGAATTTCACATGGTACAATGATAAATCTAAAAACTGAATGAAGTATTGCGAAAAACAGGCAATCATTTGTATTGCTGTATAACACACAACAGTAAGAAATACCTTATTATTTATAATATTAAGGGATATAAGAATAAGAACAGTGGGTCTTGCTTCAGTCAGAAGAGATTACGCAGAGAAAATAAATCTTGAAAAAACTGTGAAGCATTCTTCAGTGTCCATCAAAATATGTCATGTAAAAATGTTGGGTTTTCTCACTGTGAAATTTTTAATTTCACTGTTTCACATTTTAAGTGCATTTGTGTCAAACAACTGAGTTAATGATTTAAATACAATTTTTAAGAAACATTTAGTAAAAGAAGTCAATGACATAAGTTAACAGTCCAATGCTTTGTGCAGTATTTCAGTACTGAGAATTCCAGCTAGCTTTTAGCCTAGCTTTACACAAACGTGTCCCAAAACGTCGGCTGCATCCTTCGGAGGACCCGGCCTTCGCGGCATACGTGGGCCGGGTCCTTCTAAGACCGAGAAGGCCGGAAGTGCAAGGCTGTGAAATCTGACGGTCTAGCATTCAGATTTGTGTGACCACTGTGTCTGTGAAGTTTAATAAACTCAGCCGTCTGCTCCTTGGTATCTAAAATATAACAGGACACTGGTGTAAATTCTCGACCGTGTTTAATCAGTTTTCTATTTGACGTTTATTCAGCTGTTTGAAAATCCCGGAGGAATGGTAAATGGCCTGCATTTGTATAGCGCTTTACTCAGTCCCTAAGGACCCCAAAGCGCTTTACACTACATTCAGTCATTCACCCATTCACCACTTGTAGAGGCCAGCTACATTGTAGCCACAGTTACCCTGGGGCGCACTGACAGAGGCGAGGCTGCCGGACACTGGCGCCACCGGGCCCTCTGACCACCACCAGCAGGCAAACATGGGGTTAGTATCTTGCCCAAGGATATTTGGCATGCAGCCAGGAGACAGCCTGGGATCGTACCACCGACCTTCTGATTAGTGGCTGACCTGCTCTGCCACCTGAGCTACAGCCACCCCGGGTGGGAGGAACCCACCCGATGGATTAATAAAGTTTTATTTAATCTAATAATCTAATAACTTTGATCTCAGCCAAACCGATTTACTCCGGAACAAATAAAACACTGAAAAAAGCCAAACAATTACATGTTTAAGTTATCCGAGTGACTTATATATCATGTTTAACCTGAGTAGCGAAAGACAGCGGGGATCTAAAAACGATGAAGCCGGGAGTCTGCTGATCTCGCCAGCTCGAGTGACCATTGAACCCCCCGGCTAGCTATCGAGTGGGTGGGTAACAGACGTCTCCGAAAACTTCAGAGTACTTTTGCAAATATGCGATGTCTTGATAAACCAAGAAGGTATTTGAAGTTTACACAGCTACTTTCTCGCCTGAAAATATGTCTAAAGTTTATTTTGTGACACGGAAAGATTAACAAGAGCAATTTTAAAACTTAGTAGCGGCCGCCATTGTTGGAAACTGGAATTGGCTGAGCCGCGCTATGAATTCTGATATATGGTGGGCCACGAAGGACACACCCGACCCATACTTCAAATTCAGGGAAATGAAGAACGCATTTGTCGGCCGCATTTGAAGGAGTCGACGAATTGGGACAGCCTTTGTTGCCTGGCTGTGACATAATTGGCCTACAAATGTGGCCTCAGGAGGATGCAGCCGACATTTTGGGGCACAGCTACTGAGAACATTTGGTTTGGTTAGCTAGCTCCATCATGACAGAAAAAAACCCAACACTCTCTTAGATTCCTCTTATGTTCTTTTGACATATTTAATGGACTGGTCTAAAAATGTAATAGCACCTGAAGTGTTCAAACACAGCATCACATAGACGGGTTTCCTGATTTGATCCCGGTTCTACTCTTGAGTACATCAGCTGACACCTTAAAGGCCTATACTGGCAATCAAAATATTTCTCTAAACCTGAACTAAATCTTAAGTCACTACCTATATACTGACAAGGGCTGTAAAATTAGTGGTTCCGCTTTCAGAATGGGCTCTCTTCTATCTCAGGGCTAGCAGTTCCCTGAAGATTTCACATGCAGGTGAGTCATTTTTTAAGATGATGAAGTTTCTGTTAGAGAGGAATGTGTGGACAAGAGGAGAATCAGGGACCCAGCCTTCAGCTTTTTGGAAGGTTTTTTTTCTCTTCAGATGGAGCTAAGCTAATTGTAGCTAATACACCACTCTGTCCAGGAAGCAAATAAACTGACCTGATAACTATTTTCTATTTTCTTTTGACCCTCTAACAGTCAGAGTACTTTAGGATTTATTCTATTTTTTTTTTTATTTAGTTGTATAGTTTGATATCACCTAATGTTTTCAGGATCATATTTATTCTTTAATTGTATAAAATTTTGGAGCATTACTTTGTAAAGGCCCACAGAGCATCCTGTGTAAGGGATCGTGTGTACTGTGATTGCAGTAACATTGTGGGGTCTTGATTTGTTTTTTCTTTTGAATGTGAGAGTGGCTAATATTGATTGTTACTGTATTATGTGATAAAGTGTGACATTATAAAGAACTTGGTGGCCATTGTTCCAGGCGTAGAGCGCTCTGTCTCGAGGGTTGTAGTCAAGCATAGACAGGTGGCTGTATTTGTTGGTCAGAGGGATGTCGATGTACTCATAAGTGGATGAGTTGGTGGAAAAGGCGTAGTATACTTTGGTTCCACCTGAGTACCCATTGGTGACATACAGGGTTCCACAGATCATGAAGGCCTCACCAGCGCTGCGTTTTGGATGGTTGGTGGTCCAGCTGCGGATGATCTGTAGGGTGTTGGGGTTTAGCTGGCTAAGAACAATATTACCAGCATTTTGATTGGTAGCATATACAGCCCACAGCCCACCCTCGTCCACCATGAGGTCAATGTCAGAGTGCCCACCCCAGGAGTAATGGTACATATTGTTGTAACCAGCAAAGTCAAGTTGTCGCGATCTGCTGATGAGCGATGTGCTGAAGTCAAATTTAATGATTGTGTGACTCTGAAACTTGTTGAAGTAAAGAGATCCATTATAAACCACCTGCCCAGTACCAGACCAGGGATGAGGAAGTCGGTGAGAGGTGAAATTGTCTGTCATCATGAAGTCAGACATGGACTGGTACTCCCTAACAAAACGATTGTTATGGTACCCATCCATGTACCATACCTGTAAGGAAAAAGAACAAATATTAAAAATAAAAACAATCATAATTATTTGTATTGTTAACTTGAATCCTTTATGTTCCACAGACATGCAATGTATGCATAGCAAAACATCGTAAAATGACCACTGCAGCCGAGATATCCTTATCCAGTTACTTCTAATTCGTGTTCGTATAGTGACACGAAAAACTCTCTAAGCTAAAAAAGAGCCAGTGTTGGAAAGTAACAGAATACATGTACCACCGTTACCTATTTAAAATACAAAATATGAGTAACTGTATTCCGTTACAGTTACCGTTTAAAAATGTGGTATTCAGAATACAGTTACTTTGCTGAAATAAATGGATTACACGGCGGTCTTTTCCTATTTCATATGTTAGGCTGTCACCTCTCTATTTTTGGTGATTCCACGCCGGTGGAAACCCAAACAAAACACGCATTAAGAGGGTCTAATGCCTGTGTCTCAGTCTCGTGGCCCATGTCACCTCTACTTGTGGCCGCATAATGACGTGAAGAAATATTTTTAAAAATTATTATTCAAAAGAATGACTTAATAAGAAGGCAATAGGCAGAGTGTTACAGGCATAGCTGTAAAGAATGTAGTCTCATGGGCAGTGTAGCCTAGTTGTAAGTAAGCTATTAAGACTCGACTGTACACTGTGTTCGTGAAAAAATAAGTTCCGTTGGAGCAGCCTTTCAACGCCTCTCTCTGTCTCTCGCTAGCAAAGTTGACCTAGACAACAAAGTAAAGCTAGTTTTCAGCTACGAGCCCGACACGAACCCGACGTATTAGCCAGAGGTCCCTTTACTACGGTTCGGAGCCGCGGACCTGTTTTATATATGCGCCGAATAGTTTTCTATACGAAATCGCTGCAAAAAGTGCAGCCTTACCTAATGTCCACCTACTGTTACTCATTATATTAAGATTTAAACATCTAGTTGGTATTGGTATGGCGAGTAACCTTCAGTAATAGTAATAAATCACACAGCAATAGTACATTCATGTAGTTGTAAAAAACATCATAATATATTAAGTAATCCAAAGTATTCCATTACGTTACTCTTATTGAGTTACGTTACAAAATACATTTTGGGGGATCTAATCTGTAATCTGTAGTGGAATACATTTTAAAAGTAACCTTCCCAACACTGAAGAGAGCCAGTATGATATGCTCATAAATTTGATTTACTGTTACATATTAAGACTTACTCTGTTGTCTCCAGCTGGAGCAAGTGGGTCAGTCATCCATGATCCAAATCTAGATCCAGATGTCTTTATGGTGATTGGCTCGGAGATTCCTGTGAGCTTCCCACAAGCTAAAAAACAAACAGAGAAATCTGTAGGCACATGTGGACAAAATAACATGAAAATTTGCAGAAACTGCAGGAGATATTATGAGTTTAATGTACACAGCTTTGTGTGGTCACACCCAGCCCTCTGAAAACTTTAGTCCACAAAGGCAAGTTCAGATATTTTCTTGATTCAGAAAAGATAGTATGAGCTTCAGATTTTATTTTCCTCTACCCACCTAGCCTCTGCATGCAAGCCTTCAGTCGGTCCTCCAGGCTTATCACCCGGCTGTGGAGCTCCTGGTAGTCCAGACCTCCGAGCTGTTCCTGCAATGATCCCAGCAGCTCCGTCACATTCGCTGCCTCTTCTTTAAACTGGCGGACCAACAGTGCATCTGCTTTGTAGGACTCCAGAACTGGGATGAGAGGCCTTAACTCCTCCATCTTTGCTTTGATGGACTGACAAACAGCAGACATTCAGAAAAAAAACACTTTAGATCAGATGTTTTCAAATGTCCTTTTAAATCTCACATATGTTCAACATATTGTAAAGACCTAATTGCATCAAATTATCCTAATACAGCACTTTACTCTCTGACTGCCGGTTTACTTGTGGTTACTAGGGCAGAATTAAGAGCAGAATGGGAGGCAGAGCCTTCAGCTTTCTGGCCCCTTTTCTGTGGAACCAGCTCCCAGTTTGTCTTTGGTAAATGGTAAATGGCCTGTATTTGTATAGCGCTTTACTAGTCCCTAAGGACTCCAAAGCACTTTACACATTCAGTCATTCACCCATTCACACACACATTCACATACTGGTGATGGCAGCTACATTGTAGCCACAGCTGCCCTGGGGCGCACTGACAGAGGCAAGGCTGCCGGACACTGGCACCACTGGGCCCTCGTTGGAAGACAGACATCCTCTTTACTTTTAACCCTCATATTCTCCTCAAATATTACTAACATGTTTTACTGTTGGGGTCAACCCCATGGGATATTTGCCTCCAGAAAATGGTTACATACAATTGTTGACCAAGTGTTTGTGTCAGCCACTTTGTTTATTTATTGAATACACAAATAGCCCCTTGATAATGAAACTCTAGTGCCAACATCAGGCCAAACTTTTAATTTAGAATAAATGTATCTTGAAAGGTTTGCATGAAATATTTTCAAAATTACTGACAACATTCATGGCCAGAAGCTGATGAACCCATTCAAGTCATCATTTCATCACCAAAACCCCTGACATAACTTTTTCTCTAGCACCGCCACCAAGTCACACTTTAAATTTTAGACTTATAGATCTTTCATCCATTTGGGGTTTTTTTTTAAATAATTTTGGATGCACATCCATGCCCCTCAGAATGAATCCTGTTGATTTCGGTGACCCTAGACCAGGGGTCACCAACCTTTAACATCCAAAGAGCCATTTGGACCCAGTTTCCACGCAAAAGACAACAGAGGGAGCCACAAATACTTTTTGACATCTAAAATGAAGATAACAGTGTATATATTGTTTTTTACCTTTATGCTTTTTGTGAACAACTAAGGTGTGTTGCTTATCAAAATCCGTGAAGGGCTACAGAGAAAATTAAATTTTATTTATGTAATTAACACATTTTGAACACTTAAAGGAAAGACACCCAGCTGAACTAAAATGATCCACGTAGCAAACAAAAACTGTTGTGAGACGCCACCCTTATATCTCCTTTGGGATTTTGGAGCCTTGACCTGGTTTTTAAAAAATAATTGGAAAAAAGCACTATGCTGCTAAAAAAAGAAAGATAGACAGTTGCAAAATTCTGCCTAAATATGTATTTTACCTGAAAAGACCTGGCGTGGTCTGCAGCGCCGCTGCAGGGGAGGCGGACACACCTGAGCAGCACCCGCAGTCACGCCTCGCCACCTTAACGTCTGTGCTATCTGTGCTGTTGTGTTGGTATGTGTCGGGCTGTGAGCTGAAAAGCTACAGCCAGCCGGCTGTATGCGTACTGCAACCGTGTGTGAAAAGTGGTCAATAAAGATATGCTGAAAAGCATGTTCATGGAAACATCGTCGGGTCTGCCGTGATATGTTTACAATGGGACTTCTGCTCCTGAACCTCTGCGCACAGCGTCTGCAAATCGGGGCTGTACGAAGTCACTTTCATCTTTACGCAGGACTGTAAGCTGTCATCTGTGAGGCGTGAGCGGTGTTTGTTTTTAACATAGTTCACAGTGGAGAATAGCTGCTGACATAATGTGGATCCGAAGATCCATAATTGGCCTACCTGAGGTTGAAAGTCTCAATAAATGCACGGCGTTTCGGCGGGTACACCGCCTTCTGCGAGTGTGACACTTATTTTGAGTGATGAAAAAAATAATAGAATATAATTTTATTTTTATATTTCAATATCATGATAATCTTCCAATTTAGAACTACAAGTTCAAAAAGAACTAACATAAATAAAATACACTTCAGCTAAATACTTCTAATTTATTTTCCCAAACCACGCGGAGCTACACTATTACGACTAAAGAGCCGCAGGTTGGTGCCATGACATCGCTTTGGTTTGTGTGCATGTGTGTGTGGTGGAGGTGTGTCACTCGGCGACACACCCGCTGGGGGTCAAACTCTGGTAATTGGTGATTCTGTTCTCAGACATGTGAAGCTAGAGACACCGGCAACTATAGTCAATTGTCTTCCAGGGGCCAGAGCAGGCGACATTGAGGGAAATTTAAAACTGCTGGCTAAGGGTAAACATAAATTCAGTAAAATCATAATTCATGTTGGTAGTAATGACACCCGGTTACGCCAATCGGAGGTCCCTAAAATCAATATTGAATCGGTGTGTAACTTTGCCAAAACAGTGTGGGACTCTGTAGTTTTCTCTGGTCCCCTCCCCAATCAGACCAGGAGAGACATGTTCTCCTTAAATTGCTGGCTGTCTGAGTGGTGTCCCAGAAATGATGTGGGCTTCATAGATAATTGGCAAACCTTCTGGAGGAAACCTGGTCTTGTTAGGAGAGACGGCATCCATCCCACTTTGGATGAAGCAGCTCTCATTTCTAGAAATATGGACAAATGTATTAAACCCCCCAAAATATGACTATCCAGAGTTGGGACCAGAAAGCAGAGTTGCAGTCTTACACGCCTCTCTGCAGCTTCTCTCCTCCTGCTACCCCCCCAAAAACCATCTCCATAGAGACTGTGTCAGCTCCCAAACGGACAGAAAACAAACTAAAAACCAGCAACAAACAACTTAAACATAAAAAAATCACAAAGAAAGAACAATACAGTATCCACATCTGAACCAAAGAGTAAAACAGTGAAATGTGGATTATTAAATATTAGGTCTCTCTCCTCCAAGTCTCTATTACTACATGACTTAATAATTGATCAACAAATCGATTTACTCTGCCTTACAGAAACCTGGTTGCAGCAGGATGATTATGTTAGTTTAAATGAATCAAC